GAACATCTGGAGACTTGGTGTACATCTGGAATTGAATTTTGAGAAGGCTACCTTCTCCACGGTTTATGACCGTGGTTTTCCCGTGGGGCATTGGGCGAATGCCAAGGCGGGGACTTGGAGTGTTTTCGCAAGAAAACGTTGGGTCCACGGATGATACCTCCTCTTTGTCCGAAGATCAAGAGAGAAGGGCACAAGAGAGTCCGATCAAGAGAGAAGGGCACAAGAGAATCTGATCAAGAGAAAAGGGCACAAGAGAGTCCGAACATCTGGTACTATCCCTCATTGATTAAGGAGGAGCATGGAGAAAGAAATTGAAACGTGAAGGATTCTTATTGACGCAGTACGGTAACATGGACAGGAGTCCATGGAAGTGCAGGAAGCGTCGTAGTCTTTGGAAGCGTCCTGAAATTGGGAACTGATACGTCGCAGTACGGTAACATGGACAGGAGTCCATGGTAGTACAGGAAGCGTCGTGGTCCCAGGAAGCATTTTGGAAATGGATCCTATGTCGACGCCGTACGTTAGCACGGGATGGAGCCCGTGTTCGTAGTACGGGAAGCGTCGAGGATATTGGAAGCTGTATTTTAATTGTCGGAACAACAATTTTAAAGAGGGGGGCAGTGTTACGCCCGTGTCTTTATGCCCGCGCTTTTAGCACCCTGAACATACAGCTGATTCTCTTGGCAACGAGTCGTAAACAACAGATGATTAGCGTTGACGGATAAACAACGGGTTAGAGAGATTCTCTCTGGGGCTGTTGAGTCGTCGTGACGTGCGCGACGGTCTTAAACGAAAGAGAAAGCTTGAGCCTGGGAGTTACGTGTGCTTCCTTGTAAATAGCAAATATAGTTGAAGTTGTTTTCTTTTTAACGTTGTCTCGTTTTATTTCCCCGCGCGAGCGTAACAATATCTAAAATATCTTGCCGCTTCTACGTTAGGCACGTATGTGTCCATACTGGATACCTAGATAGCAACGAATTCCTTCTCTTATGATTATAATACAAACAGATTTGATCAAGCGGTTTATGAAAAGATACGAGTACACTCCGCCCACATATGTCATCAGGCTCCCAATGAGGCTGCGATCTATCCACCCTTGTATACAGTCGGTAGAACAAGGGTCCTCCTATGCAATTAGGTTCTTAAAATTGTTTATATTAATACTAGGAATTTTCCAGAGTAACCGTCTTCCACGCAACCTCCTCTCATTGGTGGACGTCATCCACCACCCGCTGAAATCCTTCCTATATAAGCCTTACCCTTTTTGCCGCGTGCGCAGTTATAATAGTAGTTCTTTTGCAGTCAGTGACAGTCACAGTCGCAGTTACAATAGTAGTTCTTTTGCAGTCAGTGACAGTCACAGTTACAGTTACAATTACAGTTCAGTCTAGTTTAGTTCAGTCCAGACCACTTCAAGTTCAGTACAGTACAGTCGAGTCCAGTTCAAGTTATAGTTACAATTAGAGTTACAGTCGCAGTCACAGTTGCAGTTCTTAGTGTCAGTTCTTAGTTAGTCAGTCTTAGTTCAGTCTTCAGCAGTCCACAACCATAGTTTAGTCCAGCCTTCGTCTTCGTCTTCATTCGTCCTCGTCAGTCTATTGATTCATCTAAATCGTAAGTCTCCATTTCATATTTAAACATGACTTTTAATCATTTCAATCCAATTTCTAATCCCACTTCATCCCTCAAAACACATACCTGCACTGCATGATTATTGTTTTCTTTGTATTATATAACGATGTTTTCCTCGCTATACCGATATGTTAAACATTCTTATTGCGTTATATCCGATTGTATTAAATTAAGTTACACGAATTACCTTTTGCTTAATCTCACTTTAATCTTCATCTTGTATTTGCGTTATTCTAGTAATGCTGATTTATAAAAATATGTTTAATGTTAACCCACATATTTCATTGTTTAACTTTAGCTAACCCTTTCATCTTTTAAATGTTGTATCTTTTACAATGACTGTTCTTATCAATTTATCACTATTATTAATCCATCCGAAAACCAAATTATATTATTAATAAACTGTTTTATTCAAAATGCCCTAAATTTAATCAAGTCGTTAAAACTATTTATTCATCTCCTTTCAATTACCTAAATATAAATTCCCCTCTCAACACACTCATATGGTCCTATCCCAGGTAAAGAGATTAAGGGGAGGTTCTCATCAAGCGACCTAAAAATGACGTGTTTTTCAAGAATTTTTTCCTCAAAGACGGAAGTAGATATCAATGTCAAATTTTGTACATATATTTATTAACTATTAAAGTATACAAAAAAATTATTTTTAGTCAAAAATATTCAAAATTGTCCATTTTATAGATGGCGCAGCTTGACGATCTGAAAAAAAAGGTGTCTTGATGGTGGGAACTGTGGTACTTCGAAAAATTATCTGAAAGCAAATTTTCAAAAAGATTTATAAAATATATAATATTTGTCGGAGCTTATACCTACTTTTGCGATAAAAAGTCGAAAATTAACAAAATGGCGGATATGCGAACCAAAATACCGATTTTTCAACGTTTTTTTTTGCTCTTTAAAATTGAATAAAAAAAAAGCAGGATTCATCCCAAAGTAGGTATAAGCTCCAATAAATTTAATTTACTTTAAAATTAAAAAAAAAAGGATCCATCGATTAGTTTTTGCTCTATGCTTCCCACCGGTTTCAAAAACATAGTTTCGAGAAAAACGCGTTTAAAGTTTCGGTTAACGATTTTTTGAATAAAACGATAAATTAATGCAACTTACAGCTAATCTGCAATTCCAGGGCCATATAATAAACCTTCTTCTACTTCGTAACGTTGCATTTGAGATAATTGGTCCGATTTCCGTGATGATGAAGCTGCTCTTGCGGTAGGAGTCATATTACTTTCAGCTGCATTTATACATGCTTCATTTGCTGTCTTGACAAAATTACTTGATTCAAGTCCAATAGAGATTCCTAGCACATCCATAATTTTTTATAAAGTAATATGACCTTCATTAAAGAGAGAGACACCTATATAAGAAGCAATATCAATGGAGCCGCTGTGCAAATGTTTTGGTGCAAGCCTCCATATCGAAGCGTTGACGGACTCGTTCGAATTTTGAGCGTCATAAGCACATAATTCGATGTTAAATCAACTGGAAACTCGTCGTAATCGGCGTTTTTTAACTTTTTTGCAGAAGTACTTACCACACATACTCCGTGTCACACTCATCACTATACTGATTCCCTTGGAATTTTTTTTTATGACCTTTAGTTACACGTTCATTTGAACGTCTACTACCCTTTCTTCCTAAATTAGGCATATTTTTAAACAAATAACTCTTTTGAACTGTTTTATTACGCAGCACGTGTTCAACTGATGCTACACACTATACCCTTCGATATTATTGTATATAGAGGCAAACTTTCTAATATTTTATTACCAAAGTACATATCCTGACATCTGATAATACTTAAAATAACTATAATAACCATAGAATATTAATATAGGCGCGTATTTCAAAAATATTACGATAAAATACACTCTACCGCACGAGCTCTATTTTTACGTGATTTTGCGTAAAAAGGTGTCTTCGAATATTACGCTATAACTTTTAAAAAAAATTTTTTTCGGCAAAATCCTTTTGGATACATATTCTACACATGATAAACTATCAAAAAACATTTTAAAAAATCGATTTTTGGGTCGAGTTTCATGAGAACCTCTCCTTAAGTTCTTTGACCTAAATAAAGGACCACCTAACGTACGTTCTATGATCGGAGAAAATAGGCCTCTCCGGACTCTCTCCTTGACCTGATCTGCAGACCTACCAGTACGTTTAGGACTCGCCAGTGCGCGAGTAAACTATTTTGTTGCGTTCGTCCTCTTCCAGGACGTAACACAACAAACGTGGGTATATATACGTTTGACATTGTTACTGAAACACTTATGATATATATTATGAGTGCGAATCCTCTTATACAATTTTCCGGACAACATTAGTCAGAGGATTATATTCAACCACACGGTCGTGAATAATAAGGCAAAAAACGGTGGTCTTGGCTGGAACGTCGCGCTTACACTCGAATTCTAAACGCACATCTATAGTGCCACTTTTTATCGATTCGTTTTGACGAGAGCATTCGATCACCTTGATAGGACTCAAATGTAAAAATTTATCAATGGGTAAATATACATCCTCAATTTCACGTCCGTAATAAGTTTTACGAAATTTTGCATACATATTGTATAGCAGAGCAATTTTGTTATTTTCAAAATCCAAATTCATATCGTCATATGGATAAAATTCTGAATTTAAATATAATTTTACATTGCTCAGTTTGCAATCATCGAATTTAGAAACATCTACTGTCGGAACGCTTCTTCGACTTGTTTGAAGCGCAAAGATCATATATCGTGGTTTTTCCAATTGTGTTGCCGCTTTCACTGCCAATGTTTCGTTTAAGTTTATAATAAAGGAAATTCATATAGATCCCGCGAGCGAAAAGTCATACTTAAATATCAACCGCTTTCCAAAGTATGTAAAAGTGATAATTTGTTCCGATCATTCAATACCACATGCGGCATGCGCCATTGCACCTTTAATAATGTGAGTCTAGGATTTTTGGATATTGGTTGAGCGACAATACTATCAATATCGTTGTACGCACGTTGCGCGCACGTATCAAAACTAATTCGTGACGTGCGTTTATTACTAATCGTAACGTTATGTTACCGAGCGAAGTGCTGCCCGATTCGGTATTCGTGTTCGATGATGTAATCTGCGATAAGCAGGACACAATCAGAGAATATTTCGCTATAGATCGTCATTCGAAAGTTGATTGTTTTTATCTATGTCAAACATATGCTAAAATATCGAAGCATTTGATACGATACAATGCGAATTTGCTACTACTCTTTCGACCAGATGGTACCAACATAAAACACATATATAATGATCACGTGAACACCGACATGTTATACGAGCAATTTTGCGACTTATGTCGTGAATGTTGGCGACGTAAATACGGATTCGTTGCAATAAATAAAGATTGTGCGTTACAAAATGGTCGATATAGGAGAGATTTTAATGATTTTGCCGTGCTGTGATAAAAGAAAAAAAGATATTTGTGATTTTTGTGACATGTGAAACAATAATATGGAAAACTTAAATAGTGTCAAATGGAAGGATAACCTTCAGAAAAGAGAAGATACTGTAAAACAAATTGCTAAAACACGTGAGGTAATTCGTAAGAAACATAGAATGTTAAAAAGCGGTATCAAGGAAGAGGATATTGCATTGGAAAAAAAATATAAACCGATTGTCGAACCATTAAAACGCATTGTCGAACAAACCCAAACGAATATTATTTCAAACAATACAATTAACAGTGATGGTAATAAAAAAGACAATAAAAATAATGATAATGATAATGATGATGATATATTCACCACACCGATTTCTGCATATTTGACGAAAAAAAAAACGATTAAATGTTGCATCATCATCATTGTACGATTCGTCAACAGAACCTCAACATACTGACTTGAGAGGGAGAAAACGACAAAAGACGAATGCGACTGTGACGCAATCTCACAATATTATTCCAGAAATAGATACTGAGGAAGAAAAAAATAATGTGTTATTGCAACAAAGCCGTGAAATATCAGTCGATCATCTAGGCCCATTAGGACAACAGTATATAACAAGTCTTCTCAGTGGTGATCGTAAAATCGATTATGTTTACGGTGTATATATATCAATAATAAAGGAAATATGATGCTCGGTGATAAGCAATTCAATATAAATCAGGATGATTCCATTACTTTAAATGGTACTGAATACGCGGGAACACCAGGTCTATACGAATTGTTATTCAAACGACTCCCCGATGATACGATCTTTATAGATAACGATAAGCAACAATACAAAAATATAATTTTGACAAGGAACATCCACAGACGCGAGCACAAAACTCATGCCGATAATATGCCTTAAGTAATAAAGGATATAAATATAAACACATCATAGCGCCACTGATAAAACACACGGGAGCGGGTAGACGAATAACGAATATCATAAATTCATCGAATATATTACCGATTCGATCAACAATGAAATCATCAAATATATTACCGATTCAATCGACAATGTAATTAACTGACAATAAAATTGAATATATTCATTGGGATGATCTGAACGAATTGGTAGAACGTTTCAGATTACTCGACGCGTCGCGTAGAGCCGGCAACAATGCACACGACAACGAGATCTTATCGATAATCAAGGAGCTCCGTAAAGCTGGATTTATTGTCAATTAGACAACTCGTAAGGATACACACCCATATCGGAATGTCGGTGAATAAATTCGGCGCTTCTCTGGAAAAACACGATAATAGCAACAGTGAGAGTGAAATTCGTGACAAATTATATTCTTTGCAATCATACGTTCGTAATAACACGCTCAATTTAGACACGGATCTTCATTATAACGTGAAGAAAAAAAAATACAAAGTTTAGCCGCTCCAGAACTCGACACTGACGCGATTAATAAACATTATATTGATAACGCATTACATGCTATAAGGGACAAAATCGATACGTCACAGACAGTTGTAAAATAACTCATTGATGAAAGTAAAGAAGAAATTTATGGCGTCATCACGGACCTAACGAAAAAAATTGACAAAGTGATCGAAGAGATAAAAGTGATTGATGGATTGTCTATTAACATAACCTCGCTATTAGTAAATGAAGGTAAAGTACAAGATGTCATTGCAGATCTGATGAATAAAATTGACAGAATTTCAATCTCCGTAACCTCTTTATTATCAAATGAGAATAGAATACACAACGTCATCACAGATCTGTCGACTAAAATATGCGACGTATTAGAAATTTGGAATAAAGATGTCATCTCAGATCTAACGGTTAAAATCTAACGGTTAAAATACCATTTCAATGACCATAACCTCGCTATTGTCGAATAAAAGTAATACGCGAGATATCATCACGGATCTAACGAATAAAATTGATAATATTTCAATCGACATTGTATCGAATGAAGAAAATGTACAAAGTGTCATCACGGATTTAATTAATAAAATAAGTGAAGAAATAGAAGTTATAAAACAATCGAAAATGAAAGAAAGAGATAACAATAATGACGATGCAACAATAACAACAATACAATCATTCAATCTGAGGGAAGAAATAAACAAAGTACTTAAGGAAATAAAAGTGATTGAATAAGTAAAACGAGAAAAGAAGAACGGTGTAGAATAATAGTGAAAAAATAGATTTAAAAAAATACATCTTGACAAGTGTGTATGTAAAAAAAATAAAACAATGGATAAGAGAAAAATAAATTTTGAAAAACAACAACTCGTTAAAGAATTACACGCACCGGCGTGACGAAATTTTCCACGACGTCACGTTGTAGTTTGTGATTACGACGATCTCTGGCAAGCGGATGTAGTTGAAATGCGTCCGTTTGCGCGATATAACAAAGGATATAATTATATATTTGGAATAAAGATGTCATCTCAGATCTAACGGTTAAAATCGATACCATTTCAATGACCATAACCTCGCTATTGTCGAATGAAAGTAATACGCGAGATATCATCACGGATCTAACGAATAAAATTGATAATATTTCAATCGACATAATGATAATGGTAATGATGATGATATATTCACCACACCGATTTCTGCATATTTGACGAAAAAAAGAAAACGATTAAATGTCGCATCATCATCATTGTACGATTCGTCAACAGAACCTCAACATACTGACTTGAGAGGGAGAAAACGACAAAAGACGAATGCGAACGTGACGCAATCTCACAATATTATTCCAGAAATAGATTGTAATCGATGTATTAAGTAAATACGCGTGGGCATTATCTTTGAAGAATAAAAGCGGAAGTGAAATGGTTACGGCATTATCTTCGATATTACGAAATAGACATCCAAGAAATTGGCAAACGGACGAAGGAAAGGAATTTTATAACAATGCTGTGCAAACAATATTAAAAAAATATAATGTAAATCATTATTCTACGCATTCGGTGATGAAAGCGTCGGTAGTAGAAAGATTCAATCGTACATTAAAAAACAACATGTGGAAAGCCTTTATATTGTGATTAAATGTGGAAAGCCTTTACACTTGATTGAAAAACAACGGAATGTGGAAAGGCTTTACACTTAACGGTTCAAATAAATGGATCTAAATATTGCCGCATTTATTATCGGATTACAATCATCGAGTATATCGAACAATTAATACACGATCGATAGATGTAACACCCGTAGTTGCTAAAAAACTCTTATCCACAATATACAATTGTATAAAAATTACCCCACCAGCGAAATTTCGACTCAACGATCCGGTTCGTGTGAGCAAATTCAAAACCATGTTCGAAAAAGGATACACACCTAATTGGTCCACGGAAATCTTTCGCATCGCTAAAAAAACGGACCAATCCTGTAACAACATATCTTCTGAAAGATTATCGCGGTGATGCGATAACAGGCAGTTTTTACGAACACGAATTACAACGAGTCATCAATCCAAATGTTTATCTAATAGAAAAGATTTTACGCAAACGAGGAGACAAAATATATGTGAAATGGTTAGGAATGGGCAGTTCGCACAATTCTTGGATACCAAACGTTACTACGCTATAATTTATCTCACACACACATACAACACATCGTGTAGCATGTGCTAAAAATAACCACAAGACCGTCGTCCGATTCATTGTCAGTGATAAAATTTATCATCACCGTTATCTCGTGCTCAAAATGAACTCGAGGCCTTCGTCCGATTCATCGTCAATGGGTCAAATTTATCATCATCGTAATCTCATCGTAGTTTTATTTTTCCCCGATTCCGGATGTATCCGTTCGCATTCGCGGTCGGTGTGTGGTGCATCGTTACAATCGTGGGAGAATTCAACGATGCGGAAGTGGCGCTCGAATATTTACGGAAATATGGCTATCTTAAAACCGACACGTTGTCAATGTCATCGAGAAATATGGAACAAGTCTTACGTCACGCTCTCGGATTATTTCAAGAATATTATCAAATATCCGGACAAGGTGAACTGAATAAAATCACATTGGACAAAATGCGCGAATCGCGATGCGGCCTCCCAGACCTTTTGGATCAGACGGATCGAAGCAGAAACAATATCTGGCCGAAGAAACATCTCACGTGGAATTTTCATCTCGCCGACAACGAAACTATGAAAGTGACGCAGGCCGCGTTCGATCTGTGGGTGGCAAATTCATCGTTATATTTTAAACGCGTATCTCTGAATCCCGACATACTGTTATCGTATCGCGAGGGTCTTCACACAAATATCGACAAGAAAATTACTGATATGTGCCCGAGTCCTTTAGACGGCCCCGGTGATGTAGTCGCTCACACATCCTTTCCCAACGGAGTTGAAGATTACGTCACGGAGGTGCACGTAGATAGAGCAGAATTGTGGCATATTCATATTAGTAGAAATCCTCCACGCACGCACAGCCTATTATACGTAATCGCGCATGAAATCGGCCACACATTAGGTTTGCATCACAGTGAACACCAGGATTCGATTATGTTTGCGACGACGCCCAGTGAAATAAAGTTTCCCATTAGATTGAGCTTAGACGATATTCTTCATATTCGATATCTATATGGTTCTAATTACCATGGTTCTATAACTACAACACCGCCCACCACTACAGCTGTTGTAACAACAACAACAACAAAATACATCAATCACGATCCGTGTGCCCTGCGAGATTTTGGTATAATATTAATCATAAACAACCAACTGTATATTGCATATGAAAAGTACATATGGTCGATTAATATCAACAAAAATACCTATGAAAAACCGATCGTAATATCAGATTATATGCAATTTCTTCCTGACAATTTCACACACTTAACGGCTGCATATCAGAAACCTACGGGCAACCTGATGATATTTGCAGATAATTTCATATACGTAGTGTCATATCTTAGTTACGAATTGATTCAGAAACTTTCGTTCAACGATTTCGGTCTTCCACCTACAGCCAGAATCAATACCGCAATAAACACTAACAAAGGACGGAGTTTCGTTGTGTACAACGATCACATACGAGGTCTGTTCAAAAAGTATCGCGAATTTTGAATTTCCGCG